GGCCAGGCGCGGTGGCTCAAGCCTGTAATCCCAGCACTTTGGGAGGCTGAGGCGGATGGATCACGAGGTCAAGAGATCGAGACCATCCTGGTCAACATGGTGAAACCTTGTCTCTACCAAAAATACAAAAAATTAGCTGGGCATGGTGGCGTGTGCCTATAATCCCAGCTACTCAGGAGGCTGAGACAGGAGAATTGCCTGAACCCAGGGGGCGGAGGTTGCGGTGAGCCGAGATTGTGCCATTGAACTCCAGCCTGGGTAACAAGAGCGAAACTCCGTCTCAAAAAAAAAAAAGAAGGATGACTATGGCTTGAAAGACCAGGTAGCTGGTTTATTATTTTTTTTCCATTCATTTGTTCAGATGCCAGCCCCATCACTAACTCTGTGTGGTCCTGGCTGAGTCACTAGGTCCCTGCACATCTTGAGGTCTCAGCTACAGAATATGGGGTGTGATCCCTGCCTGTCCTGCCCCAGTAGGTGGTTATGAGAATCAGATGCAATTGTGGCTGTCCCAGGGCTTTGCGGGTGGAAACAGCCCAGGACAGCGGGCTCACTGTGAGAAGGTGAACTGTTGAACAGGGCAGTCCTGAGGAACTACTGGCCTCTGCAGCTTCCTGGCTACTTCCTTCCCAAAAGCCCTTTGTTCTGCCCTTGGGAGGTAAACTCAGCCTGGTTTGAGTCAGACACGTGGGACTGGAGGCCCATCCTCTAGGCAGCTCAGGGGCTAGTCCAAGGCCTCCCCACAGGCTTAGAGGGGACCAGTTTGTCACCTCTTTAAGAACAGCACACCCCTTAGCTAAAGGTTCCTCTCCCAGTTCTCAGGAACTCCTTCCTGAGAGGCAGCTCCGGGCTGTGAGGTCAAAGAGATCTGGTTTTAAATCCCATCTTCACCTTCTTTTTGCTGTATGCTGGGCATTTAACCTTTTTCAGCCTTAGTTTCCATATCTGTAAAATGAGGTAATAGCACCCACCAATGTGAGGGTCAAGTGAATCAGGTGCCCATACTTGACCTCTCAGCAGCAGTAAACAGGAGACCATGCAGAACTGTGACCCAAGGTGGGCTCAGCAGCTTAGGGTCCCCATCAAGAGAGGTAGGCATTTGTTTCTCAGAAGAACTGGACACCTAGAGTCTTGGGGAGTGGGTGGATGTAAAATGTGGGGGATTGTCCTTTAACTGGGAGTCAGGACAGCTGGGTTTTAGTTTCAGCTCTGCCACTGACTTGCTATGGGTATGGGAGCAGGGCACATGTCTCTCTGGGCCTCAGCTTCCTCATCAGACAAATGACACCAAGTAATTTGACCCAGATATAAGTTTTGAAGTTATAGAACAAGACTGTTTAAAGGCAGGAGTAGCATTCTGAATAGCTTCTCTTTCCTTCCCTTTTTTTCTTTCTTTCTTTTTTTTTTTAAGGCAGTCTCATTGGCACAATCACACTTGATTGAGTACAGAGGCACAATCACAGTTCATGGCAGCCTCAACCTCCCTGAGCTCAGGTGATCCTCCCACCTCAGCCTTCCCAGTAGCTGGTATTACAGGTACATGCCACCACGCCTGGCTAGTTTTTGCGATTTTTTCTAGAGACAGGATTTGGCCACGTGGCCCAGGCTGATCTCAAACTCGTGTGATCAAGCCATCCACTTGCCTCAGCCTTCCAGTGTGCCAGGATTACGAGTGTGAGCCACTGCACCTGGCCAAGAGCCGGCATTTTCAGCAAGTGCTCCTGTCTCCCCAAATTCCCGAGTGATCTAAATAATTAATGTGGACATTAGCATGAGTGTGGAAGCTCTTTCAGGAGTCCAGGTCACCCTTTTACTCTAGAAATCTTTACTGCATTACATCACCTCTTCCTCTGTCCTAACAGGACTTTACTTTTAGAAGATAATTGTCCAGTCTCTCTTTTTAAAAATAACTGCTTCTTTTTAAATTCTAAAAATTAAAATAAGAATGGCTGTTTCTCCAGTCACTTGGAAATCTCGGCTGTTAACATTTGATCTTTATCCTTTATGTCTTTTTTCTCTAGATGTATTTCTTTGTTTATTTCTGATGATTTTAAGGTAAAGATTTGACTCTATTTCTTAAAACGGGATCCCAGACTTCTGACTCAAGCCAGACTTCCAGGGAGCATGCCAGGCAGCCAGCCTCAGCTTCCCAGCCTCGAGGGCGACAGGACCTCTTCCTTGGGCCTGCTTGTGTTGTAGAGAAAGTGGATAATTCCCTCCTGAAATGCAGGGTTGGAGGAAACAGTCATAAAATACCGTCCGCTGCTATCTTCAATTAAGCACTGACTGTATACCTGCTATATGCCAGGCACACTTCCCTTTGTGTATGCCGAATACGGCAGTATTCAGAACATATTTATTGAGTGCCTACTACCATGTACCAGATATTCCTCTAGAGTCTGGGCACATAGCAGTGAACAAGACAGAGAAGACTTCTGCCTTGCGGAACTTAAAATGCATTAGGAAAAAGCTCAATAATCAGATATATATACATATATGTATATATATACATATATGTATATATATCTGTATATATATATTAGGGGTGTGTGTGTGTGTATGTGTGTGTGTTGTAGTCCTGTGATGAAAAATCATACAAGGGGCCAGGGAGTGATTGGGAAGAGTGGGCTGGGAGCTATTATATTTAGGGTAAGAAGATAATTGTTGAGGAGGGGAGGAGGGAGGTTATATTCCATGAAGATTTGCGGGAGGGTTCTGATTCATAGAGACAGTTGAGGGAGGCAGATGAAAACCAAGGTTCAGCTTGTTTAAGAAACATCAAGGAGACCAGTGTACTTGTAGCACAGAAAATGAGGCTTGAGAAGAAGTACTAAGGGCCAGTTCTTATAGGAGCTTGTGGGCCCTAGTAAGGACTCTGGTTTATTCTACAAGGCTTAGGAAGCCATTGGAGGGTTGAGAGCAGAGAAGTGATATGATCCAAATTACACTCTAGGTTTTGTAAAATGAACACTTATTCCGTTCTGTGGCTACTTAGAGAGATTGGGTTGCCTGCCCAGGGCCAGTGAATGATGGTTGTGGGACGTGAACCTAGATTTGTCTGGCTTCGGGGCCTGTGTGTCCTCCCATTGGGCCACCAGGCCTCCCATCAGCAGGACTATCTGTCTGGAGACAGAGATAGAGCCCCTGTGAGGGACTTCCACACTCCTGAACTCCTCCCAGGCACTGGGGAAGACCTTAGGGGCTTGCACACCAGCAGAACAGCCTGCCACCCAAGCTGCTGGCCCAGACAGTGCTTCATGACTCCCCCAAAGAGGCGGTCCCCACCACCACTGCTGTACTCAGCACTCCACCTGCAAATAGTGTTGCCGTATGCTTTCACTGTCCCCAGGGATGTTCATGGGAGGAGATTTCCAGATAGTACTTACAGCCCCTCCTCACTTTGGTCCCTGAGGCTGACCAGGGGCAGTAGCCACAAGCTGTGCAGAGTGAGACACGGTTATAAAGCAGAGAGGGCCTGAGTTATGGGTCGGATAACCTCAGGCTCCAGCTCAGCTCTCTACTTGTTTATGATATGACCTTAGAAAGGTTGCTTCTCTAAGCTTTGCTTTGCCAGTGTACAAAATAGAGATGATAGTAATGGCTTTATAGGGTTATCGTGAGGAATAAGGTTTAAATTACCTAGTTGCAGAGCTGCTGGAATAATACATATGTGTAGATATAGGGTAGGTAGCAGCTATTATATTTAGCATTAGTAGTCCTACAATGTTTGTGTAGCTCTTAATACTTCTTCCACCATTATCTCAGCTGATCATATAACAACCTTGTAGCTTAGTGTTGTAATCCCTTTTTACATGAAGTAGGCAAGATAAAGAAAGGTTAAGAGTTATACCAAAAGTCGCACAGCAAGAGAGTAGCATCAAAGGGTCTTGAATTTGGGAATACTGGCTCTAAGACCTGGTGAAAGACGGCAGGAAGTTCCTTAGTCCAAAGTTAGCTTTCCGAAGTTAGTCCCTTCTTGGGTGCGTGCAACAGGCTGAGGCTGCCACTGGATTGTTAGAAATGCTTCACCACAGAGTCTGACAGTGAGGTGACAGCAGTCCTGAAAAGATCAGGTGACAGGCTCCAGCCTACTCGAGTGTGAATCATACCACCCAGCAGACCTGGCTGAGACCAAAAAGGGCAAGTATGTCTGTCTTCATTCTGGGTTAGAAATAGGTAAAGTTACAAAATGCTGTGCTGCCCTCAGTGCACTTGGGGAACAAAGAGCATCCTCTTGTGTCTTCTGTGGAGCTCCATCCTTACTAGCCAGTCATCACCCGGGTCCCTGCACAGCTAAAGGGTCATGCTCCTCTGCTCAGCATCAATCTGGGGGCTTGGGAGAAGTAGAGATTCTGAGGCCCTACCCGACCTGCTGACTGGATCTCTAGGGTTGGGCCTCGGCAATGCTCAGCTCTCTAGAAAGTTGGAGAACCATGGCTATAGAAGACAATGACCAATAATGCTGACTTTCTTTTTTCTTTGGGCTACCCAAATGAGTATCTCTAGCCACTGTTTAAGTAGATGTAGGCAGTATTAAGTAGGGAGAAAGCACAGACTTTGGAACCCGCGTTCTAATTCGTGCTTTGAACTTTGGTAGCTGGTGATCTTGGCAAGCCCCATTACCTCTCCACGTCTCAGTTTCCTCACTTGCAGAATGAGGATTGATTGCCTTCCTTGCATGGCCATTTTGAAGGTTTGAGAGGCTGGATGTAGCCTACCTATCTCAGTCCTAGACACATGTCAGTCCTCTTCAGTGAGAACTATGATTTGATGCACACAACTGCCAGACTCTGGGTTTGTATAGACAACGTTCCTTCTGGATGCTCTGTGCCAGGTGGACCCCTTGCACATGTGGCTTGCACACTGACCCATTGCCTGGAAACCGTGTCCTGCTGGTCTCACAAACACAGCTGCACCAAACAGCCACTTCGTGTGTTTCTCTACTCCCCGCCTTCATCGATGCATGACTCATTGCTTCATTCATGTCTCCATGTGCATAGAAACCTAGGCAAGCAGCCATTCCTAGGGACATTGCAGGACAACCTCATTGAGATGGACATTCTCGGCGCCTCCCGCCATGATGGGGCTTACGGTGACGGGTAGGTGACATCCCCATTCTCCTCTCTGTGTGTGCTCTCCTTGTGGCTCCTGCACTTGCATGCAGACCCTGAGGCCTTTCCCTGGGATCTCCTGGGGGAGGTAATTCATGTGGCATGCTCATTCCCAAGTCCATGTTCAACTTGCAACAGTTTATCTTTGGAATAAACCCTATCCCCCAGCATATTAACAGCAGTCTTGTTAATATGCAGCTCTTAGCATCTCATCGGCTGCCTTTGCCATCCCAAAAACCATCTCACATAGCATTTTTAATGTAGCACAGGCCCTGTATTGTATGTACTCTGACCCTGAGTATGTATTCTGTGGCCTGAGGTACCTAGTACCCCAACAGGGGTGGGTTTGCCTAAGACTTCTGGGGGATGCAGTGCAACCAATGCACCCCGTTTCCCAGGCTGTGTGCAAGTACTCCCATAGCCATGGTTAAAGCCAGGCTGTGGAGGAGCTCCTAACACCTGGTTTGGCCACAACCATGTGCTTTGACCATACCCTGCTGCCCTCATGACTAGGCTGTAGGGTGCAGTTGCCTGTCTGTCCCCCCGCACAGCTTTCACCTTGGGCTTAGGAGGCAGCAGTCTGGCTTCCGGGCAGAGTGCTTTGAAGGCATTTGCTGCCATTGGCTGTGTGACAGCCACTAGGGGACTCCTGGCCATGGCAGAACCTAGTGGTGGTTTCTTGGCTTCAACACCAATAAAATCCCCTTTAAAAAGAAGGGTATTCCAATCCTCGGTTGAGATATACTGGCAGCAGAAGCATTAGAGGGAGAAGAACAATTTTAGGTCTCATTATCTCCAGGGGACAGAACAGGATTTTAGATACTTTCTAAGTTACTATAATAATTTTAGAGAACAGGAAGTTTATTCTCCAAGAAACAGCATCCCAGCTCCGTCCATTCCCAGGAAAAGGATCTCAGTGCCAGCCTTCTGTCAAATTGGTAACACCTTCTGCCTTGCCTTGGGTGGGTTTTCACATGGGTAGGGCTGTCCCATCGTATTCCATGGAAACGTGTCTCTGTGTGCCCTGTTTTGTGGTCTGGTCTGTGGCTCTCCTTGTTCCTGTCCTTTCCCAGGTCTCTGTGGTGACTCTCTCTATCCAGGCTCTTCTGCATGCTTCTACTGGCACCTGTGGCCTCCAGGTTTTTCTGGGTGCCCAGTCTGTGGGCAGCCCCTGATGCCTTCTTGCTCTCCATTCACAGGCACTTCCTCTTCAAGCCTGGAGGCACCTCCCCGCTCTTCTGCACCGCATCACCAGGGTACCCACTGACGTCCAGCACAGTGTACTCCCCTCCGCCCCGACCCCTGCCCCGCAGCACCTTCGCCCGGCCGGCCTTTAACCTCAAGAAACCCTCCAAGTACTGTAACTGGAAGTGCGCAGCCCTGAGCGCTATCGTCATCTCAGCCACGCTGGTCATCCTGCTGGCATACTTTGTGGGTAAGCACCTCTTCACCCCAGCTTCCCTTGGCTCCCCTTTGGCCCAGAGGGCAGCAACCAAGACACATGTGGGCCCTGAAGGCTCCTTACTAGGGTGGCAGGCAAAGCGTGTGAGCCAAGCAGCCCTGGAGCTCTGGACGGTCTGCACCCATGACACTGCCAGGGTCAGCTCTTCAGGGCCCTTCGCTCCTTCCTCTCTGTCCCTCTGCTCTTATACCAGGAAGGAAGCTAGGCATCTGTCCTTTTGTGTGTTGGGTGCCTGGTACTAAGCATAAGCACTCAGTAAGACTATGGGGAGATGGGGAATCTATGGCATGGGTGTCATGGATTGAGTCAGTACAACTAAATGACAATTTGGAGAGGCTGAACAGGCAGCCTATCCTTTTGGGACCGCATGGCTGCAGTGAAAAGCAGGGAGGAGGTGGAACATCCTGGAGTTGGAGGCAAACAGGCAGAAAAGCATGTCTGAAGGTGGATGTCTGGCAAGGCAGTTGCAGGGTATTATGGGATTCAAGGTCCAGAGTTAAACCACGGTCAAGAACTTAGGGAAATTCTGACAGAAGCAGAAGGTCCCAGCCAGCACAGAGAGCTGAGAACACTGACTGAGGGAGCACAGACATGGAGCAGTGCTCACCTGACCCTGGGTGTGAGCACAGACATAAGGAGCTCCTCCTGACCTCTGCCTTGCTGCAGCAGATGGCTCCCACCAGGCAGTCTTCTGATGAATTTCTGACACAGTCTGGCTTCCTACCTCTGACCCTTTGCTTTGGTCTTTTCCCAGGAAAGATGTTAATCCAAAGAGATCCGTGGGTGTTGTAGGGTCTGCTGCCTCTGTATAAATCAGCCTTTTAGTAAAGGCATTGGAAGAGAGGTTGGCTTAAGCCTAGAGGTCCTTTTCAACCTTCTAATTCTACAATTCAAAGGCTTAAGGTAGGTTGGGCCAGCTTGAGAACACCTTGAACCCATGCTAAGGAATTCTAAGATAATTCTGCAAGCAAAGGGGACTTTTTCAGCACAAGCCCAGGAAATAGAAATAGAACTAATTGGCAGAGGCCAAAAAAGGATGGAATGCTGTCCACTGTGAAAAAGAACTTGGTAACAAGCAAAGTCATTGTGGCTGAACAGGGGCTGTCTTGAGTAGTAAAAGCTGTCGCTAAGAATGATTAATACAACATGGGCCACCATATGTTTGAGAGATAGAGAAGGGGTTCAAGCATGGATGGGGGTTTGAGTGGCATAAGCTATAAGGTCAGTTCCACTCAAGATTCTTGAATTTTGTAAAAATAAGTAATCACGGGAGACTGAGAATCCCTTGGATCTGGGAGGCAAAGGTTGCACTGAGCCAAGATCACGCCACTGCACTCCAGCCTGGGTGACAGAATGAGACTTTGTCTCAAAAAAAAAAAAAAAATAGGAATCAGGAAGATGACAGTCCTGCAAACAGGGAGATCTCCTTCAACATCTCAAGCTATAATAAGCCTCCTCTGGCATGTCAGGTCGCTTTTCCCCTTGTGAGTATTGGCTTAGAGAATTTCATGGCTCCAAGGCCAGGGTGGCATGCATATGTCATCTCCTCTTCTGTCTGATTGTTTGGTTGCTGCTGCCTAGAATGCTGTGTTGAGAAAGATACTAGGGCGATATTTAGGCTCAATGTAAGAGACTATCTGTGATTGATTAGTGATGTCTGTTAGGGTCACAGAAATGGAGATTATTGATAACATGTCAAGTATTTGCCATCCCTGCTATGAGTCATTGTAGAAATGAAACAGCCAAACTGGGAGAGGTCAGGGCCTACCCAGGCTCTTTGAGGTGCACCATTGATATACAGTGGGTTGCAGGTAAGCGTTGTATGGTTCCAATACCTTTACTTGGCATGAAGGTTTCTTCTGATACCACCAATAGTATGTCACCACTAACCACTGGCACAGCTTTTGCTTTTGACTAGCGTTATTATTTTTCGTAAGTGAGTAGACTTCTGGACGGGCAGTCTAAGTCGTAATGCAAGTAGTTTGCTGCATATAGACATCAATTTGTTTTGTGTTAAAGTCTTAAGGTTTATATCATGTAGCCTAATTTAGTGAGAAAGAGTAAATGTTTACCTGAGTAATCAAATTCTCTCCCGTTTCCCATCTCATGGGCTTCTTTCTCTCCCAGTTAATAAGAATTCATGATCAGTCTTCAGCTATCTAAAGATAGGGGCAACTGTGGGAAGTAGTGAGCTCCCCGTCAGAGGAAGGCTACAGATAAAGCTCAGGGGCCACTTAGAATAAGATTCAAGCACTGCCTGAGGGTTTTTACTGGGTAATCTTTAATTTTTCTTCCAACATTGACAGTCTTCAAATCTGGTTTTGTGAATTTTAGTTTTCATTCAGCAAATCATATGGAATGGCTGCTTTAAGCCAGTCTCTATGCTAAGTGCTAGGGTTAAAGATATGGTCTCCACCCTTGAGGTGTTCATAACTTAAAATAAAAGATAGCTATGTTAGCAGGCAAATCTGAAACAGTGATTGATTTACACAGAACTCAGGGGCAGCAGGAATACCCAACCCCAGCCACAAGGAGTAGGGAAGGCTTCCTGGGAAAGGTGATGTTTGAGCTGAATTTTAAAGTAGGCATTAGCCAGAAGTAGACATACAGAAAGGGTATTTCAAAGCAAGAGAACTTGCAAAAACTTGAAAGAGGATGATGTGGTGGCAAAGACATTTTCTTTGTTTGAAGCATTTGAGGAGTGTGGGGTACATCGTTGGTACTAATTCAGAAGTGTTTTGTCAGATTGTGGAGATCAACTTGGAGGACAAGTTGAGGACCTTATTGGGTGGGCAAGGGGAGCCACTGAGCAGATTTAAGCAGTGGTAGGACACAGGTTTTTATTTTAGAAAGGCAAGGGTAGAGGAAGGAGAGAGTAGAAGTATACCTGTTGGGAAACTATTGCATTCAGGAAAAGCTGATGGCTTTAACTACAACACTGACAATGTATGTGGAGAGGAGGAGGTGGATCAATTTTCAAGAATTTGTGTCTCAAGCCAGAGATGATCAGTTCACTGATAGTGTGTCCTTGCCAAGAATAACACAGATATTTCTACACAGATAATATTCTATCTGTGTAGAGATACTGGGACTGGACGCTAGGGCTCCTGTACAAGGACAAGCCAGAGAGGCCAAGCCTGGGACGTTCCCTTTGTTTCCTGGAGAGCCAGCAAGGTGTTGGGGAAGAGCTTAGACCCAGCATGACAGTCCTGGATTCCAGGCCCTGCTCTATCACACAGCAGCTGCTCACCCTTGGGAAAGTCATTTGTCTTCCTGAGTTCTGATTTGCTCATCTAGAAAACAGGCACAAGCCATACCTCAGATGGAAGCTTATGAGCTTGGTGTACGCTAACCCAGGTGAACACGTTGCAGGTGTGTGAACCATCCCCATCTTGCTTCACAAGCTAGGGAGTAGGGTAGCAGCCTTATTGCTTAGCCTCCTCCAGCTGCCGAAGACAAGGCATGAGCATCTTGTTGCTTGGCCATAATTACAGGCTGTGATGACTAACTTGTAAGGAACCATCAATTATTAAAAATCAAATTAATTGTCAGCCAAGCACAAATATCCCTAACAAAGACTCCTTTCCAGCAGACCAACCGATCTAATCAACAGGCAAAAGCACAGATATTTAATTAGATTTTTGATGAAAAATTGTGTTTAATTTCAAGTATAATCAATTATTAATTACTGTAATGAGTGAGTCTGACTGGGTTTACTAATTAACTCATTTAAAAATTATGAATAACCTTTTCATTTGTAATTATTTTGTACATCCTATCAGGTTCCAGATAAGAATTGCATCACCTCACCAGCAGAGTGGGAGGCAGAAACAGAGGGTGGAAAAGAATTTTTCTATTGCTGTTATCTGCCTAGGGCTGTCATATTTAGTTGGTAATCCTGACAGATTCATTTGATGTTCAGTTTCTTTGTTGGTTTGTTTGTTTGGAGATGGGGGTCTTGCTCTGTCACCCAAGCTGGAGTGCTCTGGCACAGTCATAGCTCTCTGCAGCCTTGAACTACTAGTCTCAAGTGATCCTTCCACCTCAGCCTCCAATCAGCCAGGACTAGAGTTGTGTACCACTGCACCTGGCTAATTTAAAAAATTTTTTTGTGTGTAGAGTTGGGTTCTAATATGTTGCCCAAGCTGTCTTAGACTCCTGGCCTCAAATGTTCTTCCTGCCTCAGCCCTCTCACAGGCTGGGATTACAGGGGTGAGCCACCACGCCCAGCTGATGTTCCATTTCTTAGTGGGAAAGTATCTTGAGAAAGTTCTGCTACCAGTGATCTTTTAATTACAGATACATTTACAGGTATTTTCATGAGAAAATAGAGACACTGGAGTTAGCACGTACCACCGACAGAGACTGCAGAGGCTGGAGCCTTGCCTATGGGCCATCTCCTCCTCTCTTGGGAGTGCTACTTGGCTGCTGTGGCCTGAGCTGGGAATCCAGGGAGGACTCTCACACAGCTGTAGGATCTCTTCAGAGAGAAAATGTGTATTTTTGTCTCCAAAGGCACCAATTCAGAAAGACAGGCACTGAGGATGAGTTTACGGTGCTTTATTCGCCAATTCTTCCCAATACAGTTTTCAGGTCCTTGTTAGTCTCCATTTGAATACTGCAGGCTGTGCCTTTTCTGGAGAAATGTGTTGGCAGAACACAATGGGGGCTGTTGTGCAGGTTACATGAGATGATGTGGAAAGGGACAATGCTAATTTTAGATCAAACCCTGAAGCTTTTACTGCCAGTTGTTAAAATAAACAATTAAATGCTTTATTTTATAGCATTTAATTGTTTTTGAAACATGTTTACCAAAGAAGTGTGGTATAGAGTATTAAAAATCACATTGGCTACTGTTTATCATTCTTACGAAGCAGTTAGCTTTGATTGTATGCTGTCCACAGTGCCTCTTTCTGTTCTGAGCATGTTGCTGTGTTTCCTGCTGAAATCCCCTAACAATCATGAGTCATTAT